CTTTGTCCATTATGGATGAAGTATGTGTTGGTTAGGCAGTGTTTGGTCAGGTCCAGGATGTGTTTATATATATATATCTGCATGCCTGTGGTAGGTCTTAGTTACTTATTGCATATTTTGGGCTGACTTTGATAGATGTCAGAATCTCTCAAAATTATTGGAGAGGAAAAACAAAAAATAGTTCTTCACAGTTTCAGACTATAGAGTAAACTAGTGCTTCTCAACCTTGGAAACTTTTTAAGTATGCGGACTTCAGCTCCCAAACTTTTCCAGCCAATATGTTGGCAGGGGAATTTTGGGAGTTAAAATGCAGAAACCTTAAATATGTCAAGGTTGAGAAATACTGGATAAGCTATTATAAAAATAAATACTGGATAAGCTATTATAAATATAATTAGAAATACTCATTTTTGTTCTCCTGTTAAGAGTAGTAGCAGATCTTCACCTTCCCCTTTGAGCCCTCATGCTCCATCTAGTCTTTCCTGTTTTGTATCTTTCAAGCCTTTTCAAGGTGACTTGACTTATTGGCAAAGTACCCATTTATCAAGCTCTCTATGACAGTCTTCTAATCCTCTATTTCACAGAGATATTCTTTAAAGCACCTCGTACCTCTTGACAATACCTTCCAGCTGATATACAATCTTGACTTCTGAAAAGTGAATTGGCCCTGGAGACTTGGAGTGAAAAGTTTGTTCTGAGAGAATGAAAGTATTAATATCATAAGAATCTCCCATCCTCAACTCTTCTGATTTGCATTATACAAGGGAATTTAAGAGGAAGCCAACAATGGAGCTCTGTTTTCAATGTGTCAAAGTTTCAGTGCAATTTTCTTGTAGCGGAGCATTTTAAACTCTGCCAGCATTCTTATTGTCATCACATTATTCAATTGTCTGGCAACTGAGATTTGGTTGTAATAGGTCTCTCTAAAAACACTTGCTCTACCTTTATCTCTGTGAAATGGAGGATTAGAGATGCTTCAGGTTAAGCTTGATTCCGAGTGACTTCCTAGACAAGTCTGTGTAATTTTCTTGGCAACACAATGCACAAGTGATTTGACATTGCCTTCTTATAAGCTATTACATTTTTGTTCTTGGTTTTTCCAATTTAAGATGTCCAAGCTATAACCTTGGTATTTTTGGATGGTCACCCATGCAAAGACTAACCAACCTGGGTTTGTTGTTTGAGGTCAGCCAAAGTTGTCAAGATGCATTATGAAGCCAAGATAATATTTATGTTAATGGGGCATCACAGGTATCTTTGGTTAGCTATTGGTTTCTGACACTTCCCCCCCTCCCCTATCTAATATATGGACATCTTATATGGAATGTGATTCCTGCAGAGGCGGCCAACCTGATGGGGTCCCTTCTACCAAATTGCTGAGCCAAATGGCACAGCAGAAACTGCAGATTGCTAAACCATTTTCCTGCAAATATTTGATCTAAGGCAACATTTCTCAATGTGGGAGGAAATTAATTCTGAATCAACTTGAAAAAGTAGGACTGTTTTCTTAGAGGAAAAATTGTATAACACTTGCAGATAGAATTGCCAATAGTTCTTATATCACTGGTGAATGCTTTCATTTCACTCAGACTGAACTAATCTGGAACCTAGATATCCAACTCAACAATGCTATTATTTATTTGTATTCAATGAGAAAATAAAATAGAACATTTTTTTTAAAAAAAATGCTGTTCTGCTGCTTAATCCAATTAAACAGAGAGACAGTTTGGTCTAGTAGTTAAGAAACCAGGCTAAAAAGTGGGAGACCATGAGTTAAGTCCCACTTTAGCCATGAAGATCAGCTAAGTGTCTTTGGGACAGTCTCTCTCTCTCTCTCTCTCTCTCTCTCTCTCT